GGCATTCCATAAAATCCCTTTAAACACGACAAAGAAAACTTATATTTGCTAATTTATATTTCTCTGCTTTACTAGAGCTCTGAAGTTAGAAAAATCACACACAGATTCTTTCACAAATCACTGTTTAGTTGTTTTAAAACAAAACCAAAAACTATGGCGTTTGCTGCCTAGAAAGCATCTCAAATACAGCATCAGAGCAAAACCACTGCCATACCTACGAAAGTAGGGAAAAGTGATTCAGTTAGATCTTTTGATCTAACTTACCATCAGGTACGTTTATGGGAAGTCCCTCCATGATACTGCATTAAACAGTAGCCAGTCCAGCCAACACTACTGTGTACTATTTAATAAACATGCTTACCAGTAAATGTTTTCAGGATTGGGCTTGTGGAGAATAGCAACTAAGAGAGGAAACAGACATCACTTACTGCGCTATTTTTGCCTGCCTTTTCAGTTATCTTCAGATGTAAATGTAACTTCTCTCATGCACTGGCTATGAAAATTTTTGGTACTATTCCCAAAAAACAGCGTTGTCCAATATGAAAGTCCAAAGGAACAAAATAAAAGTTAGATTTTGTAAAGGAAATTAAAACAAATTGTAAATGGGACAGGAATAAGAATGCAGAAACATATGCGCTAACACTGGCTCAAAATTAAACTAATATTTTGCCTCAGAACATGAAGGCAAAGTAGGATAGAGGAGTAACAATTCTAGAAGTAAAAATCGCCACATATGAGTTGGAGGCAAGAGCTGAACAGTTAACTATGGCAGATCAGATGGTGCTAATTTCAAAACACCAGAAGTATTTGTTTACCAAACGTATGTCATGCCACGGAAACCCTGTATCCTTCTTGATGGCATTGTATAATGAACTTAAGAACCTGAAGTCCAAGTAGAGTAGTCAGGGGAGTGAAAAACCAAACCTTATAAAAGTGAGGAGCTGCACTCATGTTTGTTCCATATACACATGTACATACATCTGCAAGGAGAAGTGTAGGAGTGAAGAAGACAACTATTTTAAGTAAAAAGCTAACACCGTAACACCAGAACAAAAAGGTATAAACTACAAATCCAAGTCTGGAATAGCTTTTCTGTAGAGCAATGGGATGGACTATGTTAAAAGGTGGTGCTTGATAAATCTATAACTATGATTCTACAGAAAAGTTGGCCCTGCTAAAATAAAATGAGTGTTATGGTCTAGGAGCTGTTTTCCAGTGACGTGATATAACTTCACTGTAACAACGACCATAAGTATTTCATGAAGAGTAATCTCCTCTCAGGACAGAATGCTCAATATGGTTCTTTTGGTTACTGAATGAAATGGACAAAATAATTTCAAGGTTGTAATTAAAGATTAATGTGTCAGAAGCAGGTGAGGAAGATAATAACATTTCCTAGCAGTATAATGCACAGAATTCCAGCTGCAGACCTGCACAGTGAAGTTAAGTTGCCTTTCACCCCTCCAAATAGGAATGCAACAGGGATTTCTATTGAAAGGTGAAATTAATCCAAGGCTTTTAACTTTCGTACCAATAACTAATTTCTGTGGATCATTCTGTGGTCTTGGGACTGAAAGAATTCAATACATTGAGTGTATTTTCATGTATTGCTTATGGCAAAGTAGGAGAGATGGTGACTGCAAAAGCAGAGGGGAAACAGAACTGGTTATACCAGTTTTACCTCAAAGGGAATCCCCAGCTGACTGTTCAGACAAGCTTTCCATTTCCTCTACCCCCACTAGAAATGGCATGTCAATTGTTTCTGACAGCAGTATGGATAAAAAGGTCAGAGGAGAGAAAACTATCACACTAGACAAAGAGAAAAGCATTCATCTTCATTGTACATAAACCTTAGCTTAATTGAGTGCAAGACTTATAATGAACAGCAAAACTTTTGTTTCAGAGGATTTTTCCTCTCCACTCATAATTAAAACTAACTGTTAGAGCTTTAAAGTTTTTTATTTTTTCCTAGTGAAAATGTTATCATAGATCTAAGAAGACAGAGAAATGGGATGCCTAATATTTGTCTTTGAAAAGTAGCTTTGCAGTGCACCTGTTATTGTGAAATAGCAATGACGAGACTGTTAGAAGTGATTACAGATTTAAGGTACCCCACTTTGCAAGTGTCCAAATTGAAGCACCGTAAAAGGGCCTGACTTGCAGCAGAGAAAGAGACAGCATTTAAAAAAACTGCACCCCCAACAGGCGTCTCAAGCTTTGTACTCAAAATCATTAGCATTATTTTAATATGTCTTGCCCTAAACATCAAATAAAACACACAAGGAAGCAGTATTAGAATGAAAAGTCATTTTATTCACCCACTTAAGAGGCCTTCTCCATCTCATTCGGCAACATTAAAGTTTTTACAAAGCTGTAGGGTAACAACCACTGGAACACAGTCAGTCTTGGGTGTTAAAAAAGCTGCGACAATGTTTGCCTGGGATTTACATTTTCACTGAATTTATCATTTAAGACAATGAAGTGACTGCAACGAAAACACCCTGATCTAGCCAGAAGAGCTACAGTTCCTACAATGAAGACAGATATTGACAGTAACTAAGTCAAAATGTATAGGCTTAGGACTCATCTGTCAGATTCAGGATGCAATACAAGAGAGAATATACTTACTGAAGCTTTCCACAAGGTCAAGGGCAATGTGAGTAGCAATATCCATTCCAGTATTTATGTAAGACTGGCAGTTTTTCAGAGATGAAAGACAGGAATCCACACAGTTGAATGAGATTCTTGCACCGCCTGGCATCTTGAAATGCTTACTCTAGAAATAACAGATACAACATTTTGAATGCAGTTTACACCCAAAGAATTTGGGAGAGAAAACAGAAGTAGAGGTAGCTAACCATAAAGCACTGCCAACAGAACCACTGAAACATCAGAGAGCAGGGATGAAATCTTAGCTCCCAAGATGTCAGTAATTTCAGTGGAACTGCAATTCACCAGAGGTTTTTAATGCACCTTCTATGCAATATTAAGCAAAACTACACCACAAAAAGCAGCTTGCAGTTTTCATCTGCTCATTCCTATTGCTAAACCGCAATGAGGTTCAAACTCAATGATTATGTTTGCTTGGAAATTATGGCTCTATTACAGATCCAAAGAAGCCCACATGCCCAAACACTTGTCTGTGTTTTCTAGGCATATTATCAATTAGGCTAGAAAGAAATACGACTTCTCACATCCAGTTCAGCCTCACCAACTACAACCCTGTTTCAACAGCTAGCCCTTGGAAAAAAATGATCTCATAAAGGGGAACTGTTCCAAGAATGTATTTAACAGTAAATCATCTAGCATAATTTTTAAATAAAAGCTCACCTTAGAAACGGTGCCTAATTCCCCCAAAGATGTCACAAATTTTTAGCACCAACATTCCATTAGCACAGAATAATGTCGCACAGGAATCATGTTTATCTACTTTACCACCATCTTCCTTTCCCATACAGATGCACAACCTACAGCTTTGCAAGGTTTAACTGCTTCTCCTCTGTCATTAATACAAACTCCAAGTGGGTTTGCTTACACTGTGCCTATGCACACTGTTCACATCAGTTGGTTTCTTCTCAAAAATTCCAACTTCTGCTCTTCCTTCTTCATGCTTTTCCATAACTTGCTCGAACATGTAGCTATTATAAGAAACATGAACCTGGTGTGCAGAATTTTATACTTTTAAGTTGCAGGAGATAAGAAAAATTCTGCTCAGCTTTAGATACACAGTTGTTCACCAAAAAAACCCATAGAAGTCTCGGACAGACAGAAATACTGCATTAGTCCATGTAAAAAGTAACTGGTATGTTCAAGGATATACTGAGATCATATTGGGGGAGGGAGAGAATGGAATCCACAGCCAAATTTGGGGTATACCAGAAGTTTTATCTGAATCATACACAAAATAACAAGGGGACAAGTTGTTCTACCAACAATAGCCTTTGACAGGCTATAATCCAACAGAAATCTGGAAAATATCTAAATAGAAAGCACAAAGCTTTGCCCAAGCTTTGCATACCTAAGGCTGTATCTCCCTCTGCTACTTTTCCTGGGATTCCAGAACTACATCTTGTGCTCATCCTAACCTGAACAATGTCGCCACATTCCTCGTGAATATCCTGCAGACTATGAGACCTGAATACCTGCTGTCACGCTCTCTTCTCTCCTAATGTTTTCTTTCATATCTGTTTTCTTTTTTTCCATTTAAAAAATGTGCTTGGCCACTCAAGACTATCTTTTATGACACCATTTTTAGGTCATGTGCTTTCAACATTTTAACAACAGTTCAAGTTCATCACTTGAACTTCTGAATTACATACAAATTGCCTTGCTCTCTATCCCCTTCTAAAGGTGCATCGTGCCACAGAGGAGCCACTGGTCTTCAACGACAGCTCCAGTTATGTCAGCTCATGCTCTCCCCACCAAAAGACAGTGATTGCTCTCTTTAGAAATCTTTAGAGGCTACCAAACTAACAACAGAAGACAAGGAAAAAGTTCGTTACAGAACTCCTTGAAAGTAAAGGAAAAGGATGCTCTTAAAGATTTAATAACCAATGCTTTCAGCTCTTACATTAAACTTTTTTTTTAAACATCTGTTCGCTATCTTAGCAAGACTGTTTGTATAGAACCTCTGTGATCCAAATATACACTATTAAATAGTCACATAAAATCATGTTAGCAGCTTTATGTTTCTGGGCTCATTTAGTGTATCAAAGTTAACAGTGAGAACCTAATTCCCTTCTTGAACTTGGTAAATCTCACTCACTGAGAAAGCCTGCTGTTCTTTTGGAAATTTCACAGATACACACTGTGAAAGGCAGGAATCTGAAAAAAACAACAGTGAAGAGTTAAAAAGGCTTCTTCAGTCTCTTGACATTTGTGGAAGCACTGAGCAAACTCCGCAGGAACAGAAGTTATTGTTTACAATATTAAATCACACTATTGCATTGGCAGTTTCATCTCAATTTGTCTTTTGGAAAGTAATTAAAGTACTCCTGGACAAATTTTCCTTTTTTTTTTTTTTAAATAAAAGATTATTTTTCTTAGAAACTGTTTGTGCTCCCAAGCAAAGATTTCACTCTTGAATTTTCTAAGTGAATTCTTCAACTTCAGCTTGCAGCTGTCCATTACGCCTTCAGAGGAAAAGCCACATTCCTCACTGGAATTGGTTTCACAGCAGTGTTTTTAAGGCACTCTTTCTTGACAGGAAGGTCTTCAATAGGTGCAATCAATGAAGCACTTAAAATTTGCAACTCTGACCCCTCAACCCCCTCACTTCTGGAAAACACAACCAGTAAAATCAGAGTTGAAAAGGAGATCAAGGGAGACTACCGAGGCAGGTTTTTTTCTGTCAACAATAAGTGATCAAATGGTCCAGACAGGATTACCAAGCAGCAAACTTAAGTTACAGTTTCTGTTCTGCCACTTATTTTAAACATTTAAGCAAATTACCCAATTTCTCTATGCTTCAACATCCCAAACTATGAAGCAGAGATATGAAAAAAAAAGAGTTACTTCTGTAACACAAGAGCTATAGGTGACAAGTGCTCACTGGCTACCAGGATTAGTGTCTACCTCCTGGATTCGCTCGGTGACTATCTGGCGAAGGGAGACGTTACTTCCCTGCCACGAAGGCCGGGAGCAGAGCCCACCGGGCAGGCAGCTCCGCTCTGCCAGCCCTCCGCCGTACTCCCCTGCCCCGTCCACGACGAGCCAGGGCAGCCGGCCCGGCTCACCCTGCCCCTTGCCAGTCAGCACGGCGGGCAACGGCCTCACATCCCCTCCCCGCTCCCTCGGCCGGGAGAGCGGGGCCGCGCACCCCCCCAGCACCCTCCCCAGAGGGGAAGGCGGCGGC